AGAAAAGAATTATTCCTGTTTTATTGCAAGAGATTTTTTCTTTTGTCATTCTTGAGTTGTTGGGATTGAGATTATTGTTCACCATTTTACCTTGGTGTTTTAATTTACATCTTCCGCATTTGCGCATCTGAGCCCAACAACAAAAATGTTCCCGAGTAAAATAAAACACGAGAACAAGTGTTGAACTTGTCACAATTGTTGGCTGGAAGAAGAAAAAAACACGAGAGATTGTTCTATGAGATGCTAGTAGAACTTCTTTGTTCACTTAAATGTCAACTCCTTAAGTAATTTTTTAGAAAGTGCGCCAATGTCAAAACACAACGAATTATTATGCTTTTCATTTGAAACATGATGAGCACGTAATTGGTGTGGTATCAATTAATGTGTTTTACAGGTATTGAAAACGCCATGTTGCATAGATGTGGAGCATGAGAAACCATACGGTGATAATCTTGGCGGGAGACTTGTAAACTGAAGTAGGCCTCTCAAGCTTAAATATAAAGGTTTATAGAGTTTGTGAGTTGTGAGCCCTAACATAACAAGCTACAGTTAAGAGTGTTTGTTGTAATTATTCAGTGGTGATTCCATGAATGAGCATTTGTAGACTTTGTCAGCTTTTGTAAATTGCATCAAAATATTCACTTCGATCACAAATTACTGCTCACGTTTTGAAGAGAAATGGACACATAAAGTTATTACATAACTCACACACATTATAAATGCGTGAGATGTTCTTTTTATATCTAACACACATTAAAAGCATATGTTCCTCGGCCCACAAACTTGTGAATCGGTTAACAACTACAATATAATGCACCAACAAAATATCACTCTATCAGATACAACATTATTATCAGTCACTCTTGTGAAAGACAAGATGACTCAGAATCTCAAAATCACATAAAGAAAAAGGACATAGTTTTGGGGGTGCACCTATGAACAAAATCTGTATTCCCACATGAGTTGCCTTCACAACACAATTGTAATACACCAATATAGTAGGAAGATTACGATCAGGATACTTTGGAATACATTCTGTAGATATTATTTTGACAAAACTTTGCCGCGTGGTATCTTTTCAGCAGATAGACATATACATACAGGGAAACCACTCAGCTCAGTTTTCCATGATAATCTACGCAAGAGAACAATGCTATAACATCACTATTAACCAGAATGTCTTGTGTAAGGTAAAAAGGATGGTTATCTATTGATAAAATAAAAGCGTAGAAGCCAAAAACTAGCTAATGCATTACTACTACTCTAATCAATATGTACTCAAATTATTAAGATTGTTTTATGGAAAAATACGCCAACAATCTATGGCATTTCAAAGTTGAATAGAACAAAAACTGAAGAATGTTCAAGGGTGGAAATTCATCCCAGGATTAAGCATGAGGTTGAAACTGTAATATCCCATCAGTTTATCAGTATAAATCATTTTTTTTTAGTTCCGAGATTATTTTCGGAATTAATTATTTTCAGTCAGTTCAGTCGAAATTACCGAAAATTATTTTCGACGTACCGTTTACGTTTGGAATAATTTTAGTAATTAAGCATTATGTTTAATTAGATAATTAAACATAATGAGGTGATTAATTAACAATTAATCACATAATTTTCCCTTAAGCCACGGTTTTCATTCCCAAATTATTTTTAAAGTGTCGTGAGCACTAGGTGGGAAAATAAGGAAAATTCTTACATTTTGCTTAGTTTGAGGTGGCATAATTTGGGGTGCCTAAGTGATGACAAAGGCACATTAGTTATGACTAAGCAAGAGAAGTTATAAGCTTAAGCCATGTGTCCCCAAATTTTCCACCACCTCTCTCCCATTCGGCCATCACCTTATAAGTAAGAATAGTTTGGAGAAAATTGGTTTCATTTTCCCCTTAAATTCAGTATATATTTATCCTATGTATTAGAGAATTTTTTCTAAGCTATAGCATATCAAGCTATCGCACCTCGCACGCAACGCCGGATACCGTACGCACGCACGAACACCGCACTTAGCGGGGGTTTGCCGAGCAAGCGGAGAGGTAACTTCATGCGCACATCTTGTGATATTGGTAGTATCATGTTTATTTTCAGTATAATCATAGGTGCAAGTTCATGTTCTAGTCATGTGTTGCTTGCGGCCGTGCGTATAGCCGTGTAAAGCATGTTCATGTTTAAATTCGAAAATCTCTCGAGAAATCTAGTATATTTAGTCAGTTCATGCTGTAACATGATCAGTCAGTGTATGTTGTTCGAAAGAATTTCATGTTCTGTCAATGATCTTCGGCCAAGAAGCGTGGTCGCGCAAGTAGCGCATACCACGGGCCACGCCTGGTTTCGATCGGGTTGAGTAGCAAACTTTCGAACATTTCATGTTATTTATTCAGTAAATTTTATATCATGTTCAACTGAGTACAAATTTCCGAGAGTTAAAGTAAGTT